GCTCAGTTAATTCCTGCATGACCGACAATCGGTTGGCAATAAAGGTGCTGAATCTTTTAGATGAGTCATTTATGTAGTACAAAACCGTCGTAGAGTCAGTCCAAAACACAACTTTATCGAAACTCATGTGAGCTCCTTCAGTTAAATCTTCATATAACCTTGTCCCCAACATGGCTGCCGATAGCTCCAGTCGCGGTATCGACACTGAATTCAGAGGGGCTACTCTCGATTTCGCGTATAACAGAGAGCAATATGATGTGTCTTCAGCATGAAACCTAGCATAAGCAACTGCGCCAAACCCAGCTTCAGAAGCATCGCAAAAGATGTGTAGTTGCGGCCACTCATTTGTCTCCCCAGGCTTACGAATGCACCGAGGAATCTTTAGGATGTCTATCGCCTTCACCTCACGTAGCCAGGAAGTCCAAATGTCACCGCCACCACCAGTGACTGGGTCATCCCAATGTAGTTTCTCTCGACATAGTCTTTGTAGCGATAACTTTGCGGGCATAATTAAGTGGGCGATCAGACCCAAAGGGTCATAGACAGAAGACACAGCAGACAATATGCCCCCTCTCGTAATTGGCCTCTCGGGTATGGTGAACTGATAAAAAAATTGTCCTCACGGGAGTCCCAGGCAATTCCCAAAGTTCTCCTAACCACCCCAGGGACTTCAGCTATCGGTTTAATCGACTCAGCTATCTCAGCTTCCGGAACCGCACGATACACCTCTTCATGACTGCAGACCAATTTGCACAGCTTAAATCCACCCCTACTTAACATCTCTCTGAGCCGTGCCACAAATTGCATTGCTTCCATCACGTTCGGTAGCGATGTCAAGAGGTCGTCAACGTAGAAGTTATTGGGGACAGCTTCCGCCACGATTTCACTGTAATAAGGTCTGCAATCATCAGCTGTTCGACACAAGGCGAAATGGGCACAAAACGGTGACGAGGTGGCACCGAATGGATGCGCCGTCATTTGATATTCAACCACTTCTGAACCAATCGAGTCATCCTTCCACCAAAGAAACCGTAACGCCCCCTGTCGCGTAGAGGCACCTTCACCTGCATAAACATGTCTTCAATGTCAGCAGAAACTGCCACCCGTTCAATCCTGAAACGCATAAGAATACCAATTAGGGTAGCCGTAGTATCTGGGCCTTGAAAGAGTTGGGCATTCAGAGAAAGACCCTTGTACTTTGCTGCACAATCAAACACCACGCTGAGTTTGTCAGGTTTCTTCGGATTGATCACTGCGTGATGCGGTAAATACCACCTTGGTTTGTAGTCTGGTGGCAGCTGATCGCACGGTACAGGAACTGCGTGACCTTTCACCGCATTCTTCCTTAAAACCGAGCTACACCGTTCTCCTAATGACGGATCACTTGACAACCGTTTACGCAAATGGTCTAACCTACGCCGAGCTGCTTCGTAATTGTTAGGAACATTGGCATTATGATTTCTCCACGGCAGGGCTATTTCGTAATGACCATCAACGAGGCGTACGGAACTTTCGACAATACACAGGGCTGTTTTATCTTCTCCGGATAATGACCGACTACTCGAACCAACACGTTCAAATCCGCTAGCAAACAAAATTTTGAGTTGCCCTTCAAGCGGAATATCATCAGAATGCACAAAATTCACGGAGGCACACTGTCGGGTACTCCGACCAACGGGACCAAGTAAGGTCCAACCGAGTAGTTTTTACAGCGAATGGGCGTTTTCGTCCCGCGCCCCGTCGTTCAAACTGCCAGTGAGGTTCTGGAACGTCGGCCCCCAGCAGTATCCAGACCCTGGGGTCACTCAAATAATCAAATTTGACGTCCATCAAATGTGGCCACTTCTCAGCTACTTGACTGACAGGAGCTGTCACGGGTTGTAATGGCAGGTGACTCAAGCAATTTGCAGGATCTACAAGCACACTATTGGAGCCGTTCAAAGAAAACAATTGGAACCTAGCCAGCCCCGCGTTTAATGAGGTACATGCATTTACCGTTTGCATTTTCAAAGAAGCAGGTTCGATCTCTACTCCAGCTTCCCGCAGAATATCTTCCTGTACCAAGCTTATATCGGAACCGCTATCGATCAAAGCATAGGTCTCAATAGATCGCAAGGGGCCTACCAAACGCACGGGTACCACTCCGAGCGAGACCTTACCGGGAGTGCTGTAAGTATTGTGACAGTGGCTCAAATTTTCCTTGGGCGTCTTCGGTATTGACTCGTGAGTGATGTCGCTTCTTGCATGTGGCCAGGCTGCAACCCTTGCTGACTCGGCAGGTGGCGGCACGATGACCAATCTCTAAACAATTATAACAGCCGCCCTTGTCTCGAACCAGATCCCAGCGCCTAGATACATCCACGGCTGCAAAAATAGCGCATGATGGTGTACTGTGATGGTCACCGCAAGCCAGACACACTGATTTCCTTGGGGTATCTAATGTAGTATATAGGGCGAAGTTACGACCGCTTCTCTTATCTTGAAATACTCGTCGCTGCCCAGCCTCATTCAACTGTCGTGGTGCGATTGGCGTTGCTATCTGCGCGAACCTATTACGGGCAATACGAGCTTCCGTGGCAACGAAATCGGCCAAGTCCTTAAAAACAACGTCCCGCCCGTCTTGAACAATTGAATCGGCTGTTCTTGCCCATCTGGTTTGCAGTGCATTTGGGAGAACACGGACTATTCTCTCTATAGTAGCCACGGTGTCTAAATCGGCAGTAAAGTTCATCTGAGACAAAGCCACATAACAATTGTCTAGTTTTATGGGGAGACGCGACAAAGCCTCATGAACCCCATCAAGCGGTCTCAACCCAGTAAGCAGACCTTCGACTAGTGATCGGGCAACAACGTGACACTGGCCAAACAGTTCACGGAGTATGGATCTAGCCTTGTGATACGCCTGTTCAGGAGGCAGCATTACACACTCGCTTATAGCCTCTTTTGCACGACCTTTGCAACAACAAACTAAATAGAGCAACCGCTGCCCACCGTCACTCACCCAGGTCTCAACAAAGCATTCGAACTGCTTAATGAACCTCCAGTAAGCTGTCGGATTACCATTAAAAAATTCCAAGTCAACCTTTGGCAACTCTAATGACGTACCACAAGCTACCGGTAACGGTTGGTGATATGACATGGGCGTAATTATCGGTGGCACGGCCTCTTGACAATCATTCAAAAACTGATTCATGCGATCCACTCCGACATCAGGTACGTAATTGGAAGCAGTTAGGTGCTCAGGGCAAGCAACATACTCTTCCTTTTCTAGTCGTAATCTAGCCATCTCTAACTCTGTCTCAGCTTGCTGTCACTTAAGTTCTGCTAGCCGTAAAGCTACACGCGCATTACTCTTACGACTACTGTGCGAACCAGAGCAAGAAACAGTGTCACCAACGGGGGACAAATTTTGAACTTGCCGGGATTACTGTATGTCTTCATTGGCATCGACGGAGGGCTTATTATTCTTAGGAATTGTGCGATCCGAGAGAGAAGTTGTCCAAGGCGAAGAGAAGTTGCAAATTCAGGGACCGTTAGGCACTGTAACGCCACAATGCGTTTGGAAATTTAAGCTACGCGTTCCCCACCGGAAAATTCACCAAAAGACCAGATCCGGACCTGAGAAAACGGTGCTATTTGTACAAATTCATCGTACCAAAGTAGAAATTACCTTAACGGTTTTCCAAACACAAACGTTTACCAACAGATTTCAATCAGTTCCACAAAAGGTCCGTAAGCCAAGGTGCACACGAAACAAATGAATACAGAGGTGAGACCGAAGTTATGATAATGCAATTGAGCCAATCGTAAGCGTCCGCCAACGGGAACGGGCTGAGGACAGACATACCTGCCACACAGGATACATGAGTTGTGGGAACACAAAATCGCTTATGTCAAGAGAACAATGATAGGTCCATGGGGGCGGGGTGAAGTTAAGATGAGTCACCAGGGTCACTCGCTAGGAGCATCGGGGCAGAGAACAAAAGAATGGAAAGTAAGGGAGTTAGCAAACATAATCGATTCAGACGGCCGAGCGATGTAGAATTGGGCATTCAACATGGGAGAAACTGAGGTGGTCAAAGTTCTTTCTACTAAGGGTACCAAATTCTTGGTACACTACGTACACAGCTTGCGCTAGGGATGAATTAGGAAACTGAGCGTGGGTATGATCCGCGTGGCAGGGTTCCATTGCAGCCCGCTAGGCGCCTTGCGGTTGGCTTGGTATTGCGACGCTATAGGCGGACAACCGCGTATGTGTTTGCTCGCAATTCGCTGACAAAAGTAGATGCTCTTCATATCAACCGCAAACTTACTGCCAAAAACCGACTTGTGTTATATGAGCACACGCCGTGCAGCGACAGCCCACCTTCAAGGACTTCCATCGAGCCACTCACAGATTCTAAATTACGGTACACCGTTGAAAAGTTGGTTACCGTTGTTAGCAAGATTACCTGGCTTGCAATTATTTTCACGTATTGGCTAATGAAGATCCGTAACGAGTTCCAGCTAATTACGGCTGAGAGCAAATTATACAGAAGTCGCTGGGCAAAAACGTTTAGGTACTATGCTGTAGTTACGATCATCCTAATAAGTGCTGAGTTGTTTGAATCTCTCAAATTAAGCCCTTTGTACACTTTGTTTACAGAGAAAAAATGAACAGACTCCGACTGTTGTTTCGGGACCGGCAGTTTCGCGGGTAGCGGTAACTCCAAATATGGACGCATCGCTGTTCAACAACAAATGAATGTCACAAAGAAAATTAACCTTTATTATTGCTATTTGTACGCACCTAAGTGGTCTGTTGCACCTATTGAAGTTACCGTCAGCCTGTTATGTGTTACACGTTCTTTAGGCGTTGGATATAAAGGCATACAAGAGTAAGGAACCTGTAGCCTAATTGCCTATGTATAACTCATAGTCTTAGCTGCTTATCCAGAATGAATTCTATAATAATAAACTATCTTGGAAGCTGGTCTTAGTATAGGTTAAAATAAATCATGACCTAAACCAGCGTGCAGGTTCTACCCACTAACAGACCTCTCCCGTATACTTGGCCTTACACTCGCGAATCCGGTGGTCGGCTAAAGTTGTAGTAAGCGGTAAGCGCTGCTTCTTGTAAACTGTTCAGTTGTAGTCATCTCACTGTAACACATATAATACCTGCCTTGATTCATTCTGTTAGTTGTTTGCTCACTGCTGATTTCTGCTAGTTAATTTTGGTTTGATTGTGTCGATTGTACGTTGCCTACTTTTGCTTGAAAGCGGTAAGGTACCTAACTAAAAGAGAAATACTACATATGTCCTATGAATGTTTTTAGCGTCCTATTTTAAGAACTTTGATCGATTGACATTTCATTCGTATACTATCTTCTTTTGTATGATACAAGCTTAAATCACATATGCTGTTTCTCAAGGATTTAAATCAAATTTACTGGCTATCGGGGTTTGTTTTCTATTCTTATTACAAACCGCTTTTACGCTTTCGCTATAATTTGTATACTTAGAATCTGTAGGTATTCTCAAACCTTTTCTTAAATAAGTATTTGTGGCGGTTTCAACCATCTGTATATTTCCGGCTATTTTACAAACATTTTCAGTGCAATCGTTTCTACCACTAGTGTCCTGCTTTTAGGGCACGTTACGCGCACAAGTTTGCCAATTTTTGTACCATTTAGTTGGATTGAGCCATTTAGCTTTAAACTTATCTAGTGTTTTTACCTCACAATAATATATGTTCTTTTTGGGCCGCAGTGTCAGCAAGCTTTGTCAGCTTATAATTTGCTTCCATCAGGCATCCACGCGAAGGAACCTTTCAAAAGCATTAAAAAGCTGAGGTGACATTAACTAAAGCAATTAAAATAAAATTCGTTAGCTTTTGTCCAAAGTATTGCCTACCTAAACGGCTTTTAGTCCCATTCTGCACCCTATTTGAGCTGCGGACAGGTTGACTATAGTAAAGCTGTGGTAACAAACCACACACTAAAACCCAGAACCTGCCGTTGCTGGGGCTGTCGTTTGTCCACCGGTCACCGCAGCTTCTTCATCGTCCTTTTTAATTGTTATATGATGGCGGAATGACATTGGATCACATGGAGATTCGAAAAATGATGTCGTGGTTAACATGGCAATGTAGTTTTGTAAGCCAGGTGATTGTAACCCAATTGAATAAGTAAGCACGATAAGTTACACTTACTTTACTTCCTGCTATGACAAAGTTAAACATATCACTATGCGTCATTTTCATCTTTACAAAACCTGTTTAGTATTCACCTTTGGTCCAACAGCTTTTGTTTTATTTGTTAGTATTAGACCATTTCCTCAAGCGTGCATTTTGACTTTCCACTGCCTGTATACATGCAGTATTTTAACGTAAACTTGCTTGAACTAAGCATTCTCGTTTCTACTCGCTAATTCTTATTGCTTCTGTGAACTTAAGAGTGCTCAGGTAAATTACCTGGACGCTTCTCTACACAAATTTGGCCCCGTTCCGCTGTTACTCAACACGTCCTAAGTTAGCAAATAAACCTACCGGCAAGTAAGCGCGCAATTTCTAACTTGTAGTTCTGCGATTGCACTCCGAAAGTGGTGCTGTTAAAGTCAAGCATATTCTGCGTTCCCCAGCTTATGTGCGCACTTCTATATGAGACTATATCCATGGTAAATAAATATCGCAATGATTTAAATGTTTAGTTGGGTTTTCAACTAAGGGCGTTAAAGTAGCGGGTATTAGTTCGGAGTCTGTAACCTATCAAGGCAAACGAAAGACAGGTTCCTGGTCGGTCAGTAGAGAATTCGCTCGCTACACCGAACAAAGATAATACTTTACCCACTTTGCTCATTAAACATATTTATATTGTCGTCAACGCTAAACGCAAACTCACGTATTTCAGCATGTAGTATTTATTCCCCATATTGGCTACAACAGGCAGGATGTAAGCAGGCAAAAGTATGCAAAGCAGTGTAAAGGCCAGCTAGCAATAGAGCCAGAGTTCCTTCAGTTTCATGAATAATGAGCAGAGGACATATCACCTTGTTACTTGGTGTGAAGTAGAAGGTTGTCTTATAGAGAAAACTACCAGGTGATATAATTTTCAGTGCAGTGGAGTAAGATCGGGGATCCTTACCTTCTATTCATTCAGTTTACAAGTGGTAACTATCACAGATATAGGGCTAAAAGCGCCTGTTAAGACCCGGTGACTGAATACAGCTAACAGAAATCTCAAATAGTTAAAATACTGTCAGGTGCAGTTTCCCTAATCATTATTCACGCACGCCGAGTCACATCGCTTTCATGAGCCTTGCATGGTTTTATAGAATATATTGACTGTCACTTGAAAACTAATAACTTCACTAGGAATTATCCCTTAACTTTCCAAGACCACTTACCCATTTCAGCACAACGCGTATGTAAAGTATAAATGGTTATTTTTATTGGTAAAATATCTCTCAAGCATTAACCTAGGGGCACAAGACACCCTACAGCTAGGTTGCGGTTGGACAGCTAGATATACAGGAGAAATAATAGTCATGTATTATTTCCGCTTTGTAGATGCCACTTGATAACTTTTGCAGTCGGCAAACGATGGCGTGTGAGTAAAGCTCAAAAGATTCAATTCAGTATTTGTCGATGGATAAAGCTAGTTGTCTTAAAAGTTGCAAACTACAGAATGCAAACTTCCAGCGACATAAGTTGTTGAATCCACATTCAAGTCCAAACAGGATTAAAAGGCAGTTGTAGCGCCTTGGCGAATGCTACACAAGAAAACCGTAGCCCAGTAAGACAGAAGACGGCAAGATATAAAGAATGTCTTGAGAAAATAGCTATGTACAATAGCTATGTAAATATAGCTTGAGGACAGTGGGAGAAAATGGTGAAGCATTGAGTAACACCACGTAGGAGCACAACAGCCGGCAACGCGCAGGCAAGATGGCGGACCTGGTTCAAAATTGCAGTCCAGTATATATAGGCTTTGGACGGGTGCAAAGTAAAACAAAATGTGTACAAGTCTGAATGTGATGTTTGATGGAGTAAAATGTCATGGTCACTACACAGTTGCGTCACGCCAGTGCTCTTTCCTCAGTGCGTCCTTGAACTGGTAATGACCAAGATGCTCTAACTTAATAGCGAATAGGAACAAACCACTTGATCTGCCGTGATCAACCAATTATGCTTACTTATCCAGTAATAGAAAACCTCGCTGCGCGGGTTAAATAAAATGAATCAACTTATGGATAGCAACTCAAATAGAAAAAAGGAAGCTTTTTGATCGCAGAATAGTACTGAAGCTTTTAGAAAGGTAACATGCAAGTTAAAAGTGAGGAGTCACTTATGAAGACGGGCAAACATATTACCAATATCTAAGCACATTTAGCATACTAAAAGGTGGGATCATAGATGTTCCCATCACTGCCTCTGTAGATGTGCTCCAGTGTTAGAAAACTCGGTGTGAGAGACGGATATCTGTTCTTACTTGGGTTTAACTGTTTGCAAAGCTTTGCAATTGGTATACAAACGTTTCATTACTACACGACGTCACTTTATCAGTGCGCTGCCGAGTCAAACGTAAGTTGCTGACTTGGTCGTCGATTTGTGACTTATTGCATTTAAATTAACCCAATCAAATCACTGCTAAGCTAGATGAAGTAGAGACAAATATTTCATGGCTTATTAACACTAGACATCTGGAAGAAAGTTGGATCCATTTTTCTGTATAATGTATTAAGTAAGAATCAGATCCAATTGAATCTGCCGGTAAAACACTGCGTGAATTCCCGAACTGCATAAGCACTTAAAGTATGATTGCCTTCATTGCGCTTGAAACCACTTTCGCCAACTATATTTTGTCCCGAGAAAGTCATAGCGGTCAGGACTTGAAGCACTATTCTACGAGGGGTCTAACAAAAGCCGGAGCAGAGTTTGCCATATTTGCACTTGTTAGCATTTTGAATGAACGTCGGATAAATCACGACATCCGAACCTCTTTGCTGAACGCATGCTTCCTGCTGCCTTCATGGCAAACAATGAAATGGTGAACGGTGCTCAGATAAATCACTATAAAAATTTCACTTGCACTGAGCCTCAAAATTAGGGTGAAATCAGATGCTCCGATACATAGCATTGTAATCTTTGCCTGGTATATAGGCGATGGTGCGGTTTTGAGCAAAACCAATGGCGCTAATATCGATTATGGGTGAAACAAAATTGGAAAGAAGTTAAAGTTGGCGGAATTGAACCGTAAGAAGTCAGCCTTTGTTGCTTTACTTTGTAATCGTTAACCGGAATATTCCATCTTTATTTTCGCCACCAGCCTGTTGACAATTTTTTATATACTGGGACTGCCATATAAGACATATTCTCTACGGTTATAAGTATTTGAAATATATTTTAGATGAATTCCATCGATTACTAAAATCACTTTATACCACGCTTGTCACCAGTTTAGAACAAATATTTATTCGTAGTATAACTCGGATATGGTTCCTTATCCCTTTATGCACAGTTAGACATCTCTGGCCTTAGTGGAGACTGTGTTGTGAATTTCTTTGTCCCACCTTCCTCCCTCCTCCAGCATACCTCGCTCTCCAACCAATTTCTTGCACCTGGTGCGTAACATGATAAAAACATTATATTTCTTTGATGGTTTTTATATCGCATTCTGTAATGTTTTCTAGTTGCTTTTGCGTGTCTGTTAACATTTTCTCGCAACACTAAATGTGTACCACACTTCAGTTTTTGCGCAATCTAATCTGTGTGCATACGTACTGCGGCAACACATCGGCACTCAAGTTAGAAACCCTTTAGTCGATTGGTTTAGGTGTGCCTTTACTCTGGTAAATCGGCAAGCAAAAACCAGCGTGGCTGATGCCATTCCAGCGTTAAACATAAGGCAATAGCGCAGTCGGAATACATTTGCTATATTCAAAATGCTTTGTATTATTTTCATAAAACATTATGCCCCAGCGCTGAATAATGAAGCAAAACTGGTACCACCATCATGGACACTAGTTATATAAGCGAATGAAGTCAAAACAATCCGGCATCTTATATGTACGTATGGGTTACCGTGACCACACAATTACAGTCACATATTTCAGTTAC